TTAACCAAAGAAGGTTACTAGAGGTGAAAAGCCTAAGAGAAAAATCGTAATTTCAACGATAGAAATGAAAAAGGAATTTATCATTAAGTGGGAAAGTGGTACACCTTTATCGGAACTGACTGCTCAGTGTCCTTCCTACTGTTATTAATTGTTGATTATTATACAATATTTTTATATACTGTTATAAATAAAAACATTCAATTATTGAAATTGAGTATACTTGTTTATCATTATTTACCAATATGATGTATAGAAATAGGCATTTTAAATATTTTGTATTGGGTAAAGCACAATAGACCACTGAGGTCCGATGCAAGGGTCGAGAAGACCTACCCCTCATACATTCATTAATTCATTCATTCATTCATTCACTGGGTAAACTTTGGGGGTCTGGAACGGATTATTTGAAATTAGGAAATTTAACTCGAAAGTCGAACAACTTGAAAACTGAACCGTCTTCTGGGACGGATTGTGTTCGAAGCCCGAGGTTCCACTGTATACTGAGTGTTCTACATCTCCAGCAAACAGTTCCGTCGAAAGCTTACGGTTATATATGGACTGAAATATCCAGACTGAAGGGAAGGCAAGATTTTTCCATTGTCCGTTTATTGTATTCACTTTCTGAAAAGAATGTATCAAACGTATAAGGCTTTCGAAATTTTTAGTGCCGTAGGGAAACACCTTGGAGACTTCAATGACAGTATTGGCGACGAACATAATAATTTACCGAAACGCACGGGTTACTTTAATGGATTATACTGAAATTAATTTCTCACCGTCATATGTAAGCATATTGTCTAAAAAATGTTGGAACCCTGACGTCTAACCACCCTGTGGGCCCCCACGGCCTGTTTCAGGGCTAGCTTTACCTTTACAGAAAACTCGGCCTTTAGTCCTCAAGCGAACTATACCAACCGAGCGACCGCCGCTTGTCGGCGAAGTTAGCGCCAATTTTTGCGGCTAGATGGTGTCACGTGGTCAGCGCAACGGATCCCCACGGCCGTTAATTTCGTTTTTCCAGACCGGAGCCGCTATTTTCTTGATATACCTCCTCAATTGTCCTCACGAGGCTGAGTGGACCGCGTTCCAGACCCACTGCTCCACAGAAAATCTGGTAGCCCCGGAAATTGAACCCGGGACCTCTGGATCTGCAGCAGGAACTCTGACAATTAGACCACAGGGGCGACCTTTAATGCAGTCCTTAGCTTATTACTGGGGTTATATTCCTGAAAAACATAACGATTGGCATGTCCTGGGTTTTAGGGTAAATTCGGGATAGCGGAGATATTTCAGCTGGTTACACTCTCCAGCTGCAACTGGTGACAGTCTTCGATGCCGAAGTTACCTCCTCCTTCACGGAACGCAGAACATGCATTTCTTCCCCAATGAAAATCTTGAAACCAGGAAACTGACTTCGGACGTTATTGGAGCCCTGCCCCAAGCAAATTTGTGGAAGCCATTGATTTTCTAATATGTACACAAATTAAAAACCTCAGGTGGTGAAACGGATTCGAAATGGAAAACAGCGTTTATATAAAATTTGCGGATAGCAAAACTACGTTTGATGAAAGTTTCTCTATTTGTTTCATTTCAACTGTTACTGTAAATAAGTAAACAAAATAGTCACGTTGCATAAACGCGATTTTCAGTGTTGAAATTTAATGCAAATATCAGATTGAACTACCAATTAACTGATGCTCAATAAGTATATTTACTCATCGCATAGAAGTAATTGCTTATTAGTCTTAATGTATTATCGAGTTCAGAACTTTTGTTACGTCTTGCGTATTCATTTATATATTTTTAAAGGCATGCGTCAGTGTTTAAACAGTTTCTCCACATAAAAGCTGGACAGAGCAAAATTAAATTTCAGACAACCAAAAACGTTCTGTCTTATGAGATTTTATTCTCGAAGTGCACAAAATGGAGACATAATGCAATGTCTACCTTTACTCGTGTTTCATCTCCGAAACTACTCGACTAATGGAGACGGTGTTTTATTATACGTCACAGTAAAGATCTTCTAATTAATTTAGTCTTGGTTAGTCATGGTCTAATAAAAGATTTATTCTAATATTAGGCAAAATGCAAATTAAAATTTAACATATTTCAGCAGTTCATAGAAAACTAATGTGGCACATAACGTAAAATACGCATGTAATTGGATTCAGTTTTTCCATGGGGTGTCAATTTATCTACATATATAAGAAATAATTTGTGAAGAGTTCTCTGTTCAGTGTGGTATCGTTAATGTGATTGAAGTTCATATACCAGTGTTCTTAATTTACAGGATCAACGGCCTTATTCATGAAAGTAGGGATTCTGTTCCGATAAAGACAAATCGTGGAGGTAATTCTTTGTATTCTTTATACTAACTGATGAATCTATTGTTCTTTCTGCATCAAGGTTCTGTGATATTCACACACATTCATGTAATCGTTTTCGTAAATTTCTCTGTTTGCTTTCTGAGAAGGAGTGGTTCTCCAGTGTATGGTTTGGCGGCAGTGTAAATAACCTCCACAATAAAAGATGTTTTCTTACGCAGCAACCAGAGTAACAAAGTGTTAAATTGTGTGGTAATAATCAGGCAGAAATTATCCCTATACACTGCTCCATTTAGCACAGTGAACTGTTTCAATGCATGAAACTCGCATAACCTATCTATCACAGTGTTACACTAAACCATGGCTTTTTTTAGTCCACTCTCCTTATTTTGAGAAAATAAATATGAGGCTTTTGAGATCACCTTGTTGTCTCATCATCATCATCAGTAATCTGTCAAGATGACAGGTCCACAGTCTCTTTCAAAACAATTCCTCCACTTAATGCGATCTAGAGCTTTCTCCTTCAAATGACAGTATCCTCTTCTGTCCCCAAGGTCATCCAGCATCTTCTTACGTCTTCTTCCTCGTCTTCTTGTCACTTCTATCCGCCCATCTATCTTTCCTTCGATAGCTTCTTTTAGAAGGCAGTTTCTGCGTAAAACATGACCAATCCAATTAGCCTTCCGTTTTCTTATTTCATGTAGGATATTCCTCTGCTCACTGACTCTAATTAACACTTCTTCATTTCTCACATAATCGGTCCAACTGATCTTCTCCATTCTTCTCCAACACCACATTTCGAAACTTTCCAGATGTTTCTGATCTACTGCCCTAAGTGTCCATGTTTCAGCCCCATACAGAGCTATGCTCCAAATCTTGTTGTCTGTGACCCCCTTATGTTGCTAGACAACGGTTCGGTACAGAGTTTACCGCGACAACGAATACACATGCAACAATATGAGAACTGTTGGTCGTAGTGTTTTCAACGCGGTCCGTGGTTATCAAATACGCAGTATGTAGCGAAAGAAAGTAGGCTATTAGTTCTTCCAAGAATTTCTTTCCTTTCTTGCGCTGCCCGGCCCGACTGAATACTCAGCGTGTTGACCAAACAACGCCTTGTAACGATATAAAGAATACCTGTATAAGGTGCACAATAACTCCAAAGGGAAAATTTGAAAATACCCAAGTAGCTACGGTTTCACAGATTCATCTACTTTTAAGCAATAGCCACTGAGGGGCATTCTGAAGTCGCGACTTCACTCAACTTGCATACATTCAATTTGAATGGTCCGGAAAGACAAGCTGATAGACAAAGCGGTGTTGCTGCTATCTAGAGACAACATTTCTCGGCAAAGGTGAAGACTGCAGTACCGACTGATGAATAGATACGAAAGACCGTTGAAATCTGAAACGACGGATTAGGCAGTTCGCATCTCTAACTGTGGATTCTACCGATAGCCTTTTTATTGAGACTCTCACCCTCATACGTTAAAGTTCTAGGGACACGCGGTAGCGTAGTTGGTTGAGGCACTAGGCGACAAGCCGGAAGTTCGTGGGTTCGAGACCTGATTAGGTGAATTATTTTCCATTTTCCTAATCTTTGCAGCCGCACTACGGCCCTGGGGTCGACTCAGCCTCTATCAGAAATGAGTACCAGGAATCTTCCTGGTGGGTAAAAGGCGGCCAGCGCATAATGCTGACAACCTTACCGCCATCTGTCAGCCGATTTACTAAAGAAAATGTAGGAGTCTCGACGTCTCATAAACCTGTGGGCCTTCACGACCTGTTACAGGGGTAACTTTATAAAACGTTTTCATCCATAACTTCTAATAATCATGGTGAATGAACACTTTTCTACGACGTAATTACGTATTATAAATATGAAGAAAAGTGAGGTGAATCGATGAAACGTCAGAGGAATTCAGAGACACCCCGACTCTTTTCTTAAAATCATATTTCTTGACCCTAGATTCCCGTCAAGTGTGATCACAAGTTAAAATATTCAGTGAACAAGAAACGAAAATGACACCACTCATTGTAAGGAATTCTGTCTTTCGAGATATACTTAGCGCAGCATACCATATTGAAAATCATCCAACGTTTCGGAGGAACATATCACCTCCATCTTCAAGGTTGAAGACTAAGCCAAGAAAGAAACCAGAATGAAGCAGGCAGCAATATAGCCCAATAACTCCCTCTAACGGCACCTAACTTAGTACAATCCTTTCCATCTTTCACCTTGTGACAGAAATTATCCAAATTGCCGAAAAGAAATATGTGCAGAAAATACGCCTCATACAGTGGTCAATGTTTGACACAATATTGGTATATTCGGTATAAATTCTAAAAATTTAGTTCAAATCTTACGATTTCCTATCTCAATGGGATTTTGGAGCATCTACGTCAGAATTTTGTTTAAAACTGAGTAAACGCCACTGCAAAATTCTGTTCATTAATATAGGTACGACAAATAGTTTGTGCATGGATGAATCTCGAGTAAATTTGTTCTTGCATACGTCCGGTGTAAGTCATCTAAGACTCAAGTTGGATTAAAATATAAGACAGTTTTCACGGATGAAATACCTTGTTAACACTGTGTACCTGATACGGATAATAACATGGAAAATGAATACAATTTGTTGAGAAGTAGTACTATCGACAGAACTGTTGCATTACCTTTGAAGGAAACTGCACACTCATTCACTCAGCCACTGACTGACTGGGTGAGCTGTGATGTTGCTCCTCCACTACTATCGTCCCGACTGCAGCGGCAGCCACACTCGCTGAGTACATGTGGAACCCAGATTTCGTTCCTTCTTTCCCCACCCCCCACTTTGCACGTGCCTTACTCTGTTCCTGCCCCTACTCGACATTTCTCGTTTTGCTTTCGCTCCGAATACCTGTCCTAGTTTCGAACCCAGTCTGGACATCATCATCTTCTACGAAACGTCAGGATTGAGGGGTTAGCTGTTGTGCTTCGTATTCGGGAAATTTTACGTTCAAATTGTGGCCCTGAGAACAGCTTCCATGATCGAAATGTTCATAGTTTTCCGCAGATCCTTCTAGAAAACTGAGGATGCATTCCCTAGTCATTTTACTCAGTCTCTCCATGCATAAGTCTGAATAATACCTTGAAATAGGGTCAGATCGAATTCTTTTTAGCCTAATTTTCTTATTTTGAAAAAATAAACGGAGGCTTATGAGATCACTTTGCTGTCTGTGTGTCTGTTTCTCGGTCCATGCAGCCCCGTTACGACTTACGAGATCATTTGCTGCCTCCACGCAACAATAGAAGAACTATCGGAAGAGGTGTTTTCTGCGGGGTGCGTTCCGGCGGCTGCGTCACTGTGCAATGTCGCGGCTGCAAGTAAACGTGTCTTCTGTTGGATCCGCCTCGAGGCTATTTTACGAGGTCCAACGGGACAAGCGAACCAGAAACTGTAAATAGCACATATCCACAATAAACCAGACTCTTAATAAATGACTGTATAGAAATGCAGGCATGCAAAATTGTAAAGACAGGTGACATGCACTAAAGGCTTTGATCGCAGTAAATGAGAGACCCGCGCGTCTCTCCAGAGAGGGCGACCCATATCCACAAACCCGCAACTGTCTGCCAGTAACAAAAATCTGGTCTTGGTAAGACTGACTGGCCAACTGACCGGCGGTCGTAACGTGACTGTCTTTGAAGCGAACCAGTAAGTTGGTGCCCGCTCGAGTCACCTCCAGTAGTAGTGAGACCTTTCCTCTCGCCAAAGAGAAGGCCCAATTTCCAGACACATGAATGGTTTTCGAAAGACGAAAATGTCGTTATGAGTCCCGAAGTGGTCGGAACTAATAATATGCTGGCGAGGACCAGCAGCAATTTATCCGACTGAGTGTGTGTGTGTGTGTGCGTGCGTGTGGAGGAAGGGGACAGTTAGTGAGTGAGCGCTCGCTCGAGTCACCTCCAGTAGAGGGCGAGCGACCAGTAGTAATCAAATCCTTCATTTCGCCGAAGCTGTGGCCATAGCTTCCGACAGGATCCGAAACCGAGATTGACTTTACTGTTGAGGGCCAGCAGCAATTTACCCGACCGACAGAAGAGAACCAGTCTAGAGAGAGTCTGCAGGAAGACAGGCCAGTCCGAGTCTGAGGCTTCTGTAACACAGTCTTTCCTGGTTGAGACGGAGTATCCCCCACTGTTGTAAGCCGTTGCGTAGCAAAACCGAGTTATTTGTGAGACAGCCGCCTGCTAGTAAGGATGTGAACACGGAACCTGAAGAAGCTACGTCTTTGGAAGCCGTTACCAGAAAACCCTTCAAAATACAGCAAACTGAGTAATTAGTGTGTGCTTCAGTGAACTTGAATTGCAGCATGCGAGAATTAGCGACAGCGCTACAGTTACTTGTGGTTACGAAATTCAAGAGTCTAAGAAATCCGGTTACTAATCCAAACCCCGTCTATAGTCACTCAATCACGTGACAGTATTCTATAGACATAACAAACAAATCGATTGAGTGGGTTAGCGTAGCGGTAACTTTCGAATTTGGGAGTTACTAGTGTTGAATATCGACCAACGGGACATTGGCTGCCTTGAAGTTTTCGTGGTTCTACTCATTACGTACTTCCAAGTAAAAACTATGGCAGTACTTCGATGAGACTTTAATCGATTCCTTCCAAGTCCTTTCTATATTATCCTTCGTCCTGTCATTCCAATCAAGGCTATATACTGGCAGCGTCTCAAAATGACCCACAAAATCACTGCTAATTAATTCATATTAATTACGGGACGACATCCCAAACTGTGTTGAGACATTCAGTAAACCGAATTTGGATTGGGCCGAACTTCTATTTATCTCAGAGTCTTAGGAATAAGAAATGAAAAAAGTAAATATGCTTACCGGGAACGGGAAGACTTACATTTTCGTCACAACTAGACAGTTTATTTATTTATTTATTACTTTGTTTATTTTTTCGATTACAGTAGTCCTTCTTCGAAGGTAAGAAGAGGTTCCTATCAGACTTTTCCATATCAGCTTTATTCCAAGTGGACTCAAGGGCGAGGAGTGGAGGTTAGGTTCCCTGCAAAAGCATAAAATGTTCTGTTTTCCACAGTTTCCAGAGCAGCCCTGGGAGCCTTCTGGGCTGCTGTTCAGTGGGTGCCAGGTCTTTACCTCGGAAGTAATACGGCGGGAACGTGAACTTACCACTCATCTCCATCTAGTATCGAGGTTAACAATGCTTGAGCTATACCTTTACTCCCCATATGTCCCCATGGCGTGATGCTTAAGTAAGCAAAGGGATGATTTTACGTTTTTGATTTCCATTCGGTGTTTCGCAGTATATGGTAACGCTATACAGAATTAATATGTAATAATTATGATATTTAGTAAACTATTGTAATATATGCACCCCTTAACATACATATATATTACTTTAAACATTATGTATATGATTTGTATGCATATGTATATGCGGCCCTATGTTTTAAACGTTTCTTTCCTAAAGTTCACTACAATTATTCTCTTGCTCTTGAGGAGTTAAAATTACATACTTTATGTACTAGGAGACATCGCCTTGATGCTCTCTTTCTTATTCAAGTTTATTTTGGCTCTAAATTCTGCCCTTCTGCCCTGGAAATTGTTGGTCTCCGAGTTCCTGCTCGGTATAT